TAAGAGATCATACAGTATTCTGCCTGACTTATTTTCCTAGCGTGCTCTCATAGCCTTTGCCCATATTGTCACAAAAAGCAAGATTTTCTTCTTTTTTTATGGCTGAGTAATAATCTGGTGTGTGCATGCATGTATGTGTGTATGTACACATCACATTTTCTTCATTCATCTGTTGATGGATGCTTAGGTTGTTTCCATGTCTTTGCTGTTGTCAGTAATGCTGCAGTGAACATGGGTGTGCAGATATTTCTTCAAGGGAGTGATTTCACTTCCTTCAGAGATACACCATTAGGTGAGTTCCTCTGCTGCCAGCATGGCAACTGTCTGCAACCTGCATCTGTATTGATATTGTACTAAGGGAGAGTGGGGGTGGTGAGAACTGAGATGCCAAGAGCCCCCATTAGGGAGCTGTCAGGGTCCAGAGGAAAAGCAGTGAGGGCCTGGATGGAGCTTTGGCAATTCAGATGGAGAGGAGGGGACAGATCAAGAGCCATGTCTGAAATAGAAGTGTTGGTAGGATGTCGAAGACCCATTAGGTACGGCAGTGAAGGAGTCTGAAGATGACTTGAAGGTACCACTGTGGGTGGCAGTGTGGGTGGTGATGTTGTGAACCAGAGTGGGGGACACAGGAGGAATACAAGGTGGAGATGTGGATGCCTGCCCATTGGGAAGGTCGATTAGAGGGGGTTGCCAGAGGCAATGAGGAATTTAGTTTAGGGTATCCAATCCAGTTTTCCTATTTTATCAATGAGGAAACTGAGGCTCAGAATGGTAAAGTGACAAATCTGAGGTTACAAAACTAGTTGGTTAATAGAAAACTGAACATACTTCCTCTTGTGTTTATGCCTGTTGAGAGGATTCACTGCTTGGTTATGTATACTGAGAGCATCTTTATAGTACTAAATGCCAAGTGAATATATCATTAAATATGCATTATGGCTTTGCTGCTTGTGTATATTTATTTTTATTTATTTTTTATTTAAAATATTTTATTTATTTATTTTTAGAGAGAGGGGAAGGGAAGGAGAAAGAGTGGGAAAGAAACATCAATGTGTGGTTGCCTCTCATGTGTCCCCCAGTGGGGACCCGGCCCACAACCCAGGCATGTGCCCTGACTGGGAATTGAACCGTGATACTCTGGTTCGCAGGCCCTCGCTCAATCCACTGAGCCGCACCAGCCAGGGCGCTTGTGTATGTTTTTAACCAAGTCCATAACACCAAATGGATTGATTCCAGGCAATTGAGACAGAGAGCCAAGTGTTGATTTAATGGTGATATCATAGGGCTAGAAGGCATAAAAGCAGAAAGGAGCCTTAGAGATATGTCAGAACAACTTCACTTTACAGAAAAGAAAACTGGGTCTCAGGGAGAGAAAAGTATTTGTCTAAGGCTGACTAGTGATTCAAATTAAGACCCATGTTTTCCGACCCATTAAGTTAGTGACTTCATTTTTTAAAAAGATTGTATTTTATTTATTTTTAGAGAGAGGAAAAGGGAGAGGTAAAGAGAGGGAGAGAAACATCCATTAATCAGTTGCCTCTTGTACGCATCCCAGCTGGGGACCATGACTGCAACCCAGGCATGTGTCCTGACCAGGAATTGAACAGGCAACCCTTTGCTTTGCAGGTTGACTCTCAACCAACTGAGCCATGCTGGTCAGGGCAAGTTAGTACCTTCTGCAGTGATGTTATCCAGATTGTGTCTGCAGCCATTGTATTTTATTATGATTCAGTCGATTGCCACTTAATACCCCTTGAAACTGGGAGCTGAATTATGAGCCACATCCACAGGGCTGTGTGTTCAGAGACTAGGAGGAAGCAGGCATCCACATGGGATTGTTTCCAGGGCATGCATCCAGTGTGGCACTTCTTAGCTTAGAAGTTTCCGAAGGACAAAGGACTATGCATTTGCAGCACAAAACACAGGACCGAGACCATATTCGCTATTCAATAAATATGTGTTAAATGAGTGATCTAGCCTCAGGGGTGATTTTTGAACTATGGTTTATGTCCTTTTTATTAATAGTAAATTACCTATGATAAATACATCAGGTCTCTAGTTTGCCCATATGTAGGCATTCACTAAAAATCACATGGTTCTCATTATTTTAATAAGAAACAGCAGATAGGGCTGTCAGCTGACAGGATAGGAAGAATAAAATGTGAGTGCTAGACATGCCCGGGTCCGAATGTGGCCTCTCCCTGGAACACCAAAGATACAAACTTTCCAAGTCTGTTGGCCCAGTGACCTCAACAAACAAAGGTCTTTTCTTTCTAGAAATACACTTACTCTCCTTGTTTCTTACTCGATGCACATATTCTCACAAACTCAAACATACATGCACATTTTCTTTTTGAATTCCTATGAATGTGTTCAACCTCTATATATTGCTTTTTTGCATAGTATTGAAAATGTCCCTTTGGCACATATTTCAAATGTAAAATCTTTCTCTTTGAGGGCCGCCTTACTCTGCTATGGAGACCTCTGGACAAGTAGATTACTAAGTAATGCGTGACTTTGCCCTTTATCTGATTAGTGCCCTGAAAGGGATCATAAGACATCCATACAAAGCCTAGAGGCCTTCAGAGTCCTGAATGATCACACAGGGCAGCTTTTTTCCCCAGTGTTCCTGAAATGTCATGGACACTCTGAGTTTTGTCAATGGAGATCACTGTTTTGCATCAGAAACTGAAAAAAAAAAACCAAGAAAAAGGAAGGAAGGAAGGAAGGAAGGAAGGAAGGAAGGAAGGGAAAAAGAAGAAGAAAAGAAGAAGAAAAAAGAAAAGAAAACAGAAAAGAAATTTAAAACTTATTTTGGGAAAAGGAAAGTTTACCTGTGGGTTATGTGTCATATGAAGAGTATTATAACCCTTTCTTTCATTGACTGGATGACTAGGAAAATAAAATAAAATAAAATGCTTTTGTGTTATAACCATGTAAGAAATGTTTTAGGATCATCATGAGCTGGCTCTGACGAAAATGCTCTGTCTAGTCAGACCCGAATGCACAGGCTTACCTATAAGGAAGGGACTCATTGGCTTTCATCTATTTTCACGAAATGCTGTGGCTTATGAATCATTTTCACTTACAATGTGTGCTAATGCCAGTGTGATCTTAACAAGCTACAAAAAAGTTTGGTAACTTGAGTTAAAACTCATCATCACAAAACCTTGAGCTCCAACTTAAGTGTAAACTGTTCTTAGAGGTGTGTTCATCTGTGTGTTCTTAGATACATGCCACTTTCAGCATGTTATTCTAAGATAGACTTATTCAATAAGTCAACTTATTTATTTAATAAGTTGACTTATTGAATACATACCTAACTTAAAAAATTTATGTAACTTCATAAGACTGAACATAAATTCTCAAGTAAGAATAAAATGTCTTTGTCTTATCGTATATTTCTGGAGCTTTTTTGTTTGGAAAATATAAACCCAGTTTTCATTAAACTCTGTCTTCAGCAACTACTAGTGGATAGAGTGACAAGCGATAGGGTTTTGTTGATTTCTGTTATTCAGTTGAAATACCTATAATTTTTTGTTATAAACCCTGGACTGCAACTATGATTTTACTATATATCATATTGGTTTTTGTAAATTTTAACATGCTGGAGAAAGGGAGGGAAAACTTAAGTACCAGGTTGTTATAAGGTACTGTACTGGGTGCTTTACACAGGTTAATTCATTCCATTCTTATGGCAACCTTTTGAGGTATGTATTATAATTGGCATTTTACCAATGAGGAAGGCTAAACTTAGAGTGTGGAATAAACTTGCAAATATTCACTTAGAAAATTAGGAATTATCGCTTCTTGGCCTTTTGGCTAAGATCAAGTGTAGAAAATTAAGAATCAGAGCAAAAATGATTCTAGATGATTGGTCTAAAAAAGACCAACTTTCTAATTAATTAATTAATTAATTAATTTTCTTCCTTTGTTCTTCCTTTTCCGATCTCGCCCTCTCATCTCTCTCTGACAGAGGGCTTTTCTTATACAATAGATAATAGACTACTTGAGGGTAGAGGTCATCTAGTTCACTGTTCTTATCCTAGCATGTCACTCAGAGACTGGCACCAACACATAAATATCTGTTATTTGTTTAATCGAGTTGAATGGGATACTCCTGATATAGAAACCTGGAGGAGAGCTAGTATAGGACTATGGTTTATTAGTTGGGAGTATTCAGCATTGGTAAATGACTGTGGGCTCTGGATGAAAAAGCTCACTTTTGAATTCTGACTTCTTAAGTTAATTAATCTGTACAATTTGCACAGGTTACTTAGCCTCACTAAGTCTCAATTTCCTCACTTTAAAATGGGGATGATAATTGTACCTTTGTGATCATTTATGTAAATCACATTTCTGTTGTTAGTAAACATACAATAAATGCTAGCTATTACTGCTACCTTTAATTAGAATTGACTGTGGATGTATTTTTAACTATTACATTATTACTATTAGGTATTTATGATGTTTATCACTGTATCACCCCACCCAAATGTAATCTCCACAATGGCAGGGATTTTTACATTTTTTTGTTGCATCGCATGCATTGAGAGCAGTGTAGCAGTGTTGTCCAGCGAACATCCTGTGATACCAGGAATGTTCTGTACTGGAGTTGTGTAAGACTGTAGCCAGTAGCCACATGTGGTTACTAACACTTAAGATGTAGCACAAGAACCAGATGTGACTGAAGAACTGGATTTTAAATTTTAATCAGTTTTATCTAATTTAAACTTAAGTCGCCATATGTGGCTAGGGGCATCCTGTGTTAGCACAGTTCTAGGATATCAAATGGTATCCGGAAGTGTCAATAAATACTTGTCAAATGGATGAATCGTTTCTGGACTCCAGTATCAGGATCAAAGCTGTGTGATTGCATATTTAGTTCATTCCTTAAAGGTAAGCAGTGAAGCACAGCTCACACTGGAGGCCTCATAACATTGCAACATTTGGGTTTAGTATTGCAGTAAGTTTTTATTTCTGTTTTTCTTTGGTGATAGGTCAAGAAAGATTTGGAAACATGACAAGGGTCTATTACCGAGAAGCCATGGGTGCATTCATTGTCTTTGATGTCACCAGGCCAGCTACATTCGAAGCAGTGACAAAGTGGAAAAATGACTTGGACTCAAAGTTAAGTCTCCCTAATGGGAAACCAGTTTCTGTTGTTTTGTTGGCCAACAAATGTGACCAGGGGAAGGATGTGCTCATGAATAATGGCCTCAAGATGGACGAGTTCTGCAAGGAGCATGGTTTCGTGGGATGGTTTGAAACATCAGCAAAGGTAATATGACCTTCAGTGGTAAGCTTATTGTAGGCAAGATTCACAAAAGAAATGGCATGGAATCATCATCATCATAATGATAATAATATGTGTCTGGCTAGTGATTTATAGTTCCCAAACTCCTTTAAGCTCTTTCTCACCTCAGCAGGTAAGATGGGCAGAGCAAGAACTGTCATCCTCAATTTAAGATGATTGTGCCTAAGGGAGCAAAGCATCTTGTACGTCATCCTGGTGGTAATAGTTAATAAATGTTTTTGTTTATTGAGTGCTTATGTGTTAGGTATGTTTTACACACATCTTCTCATTAGTCCTTAGAACAACCCCATTAGGTAAGTATGATGTTAGAGTAAATGAATTGAATGGGTCGCTGAGTCGGTATTTCTGCCTTATTCATGCGTTAATTAACTTGCTCCATCAACATATGATAAGTTCTTCCATGGCAGGAATTATGCTTTGCTCTGGAAATAGAGAGATAACAAGAACACAGACTGTGGCATTGGGAATACTTGGATAGTGCAGTGAGAAAGTAGACGGCAGATAGAAATATAAAGACTATAATGTGGCTTGGCACTGCTCACTCTCTTGGGGGGGCCGAGGGGTAGCAGGGAAGTGGGGTGTGGTCAGGGCGGGAAATGAAGAGTCAGATGTGGGTGGTGACGGTATTATACCTCCCATTATACCCCGTGCTGCTTTCTGATTTGCAGTCAGGTAGATGACTTTTGCTCAAATCCCTTTTTTCGTGTGTGCAGACAGTATTTTTGCATCTCAGTATCAGAGAGAAAGACCACTTTAACAGTAATTTTGAAAGTTAAAAATGCATAAATAAAATATAAATAAATGTTTTGCTGTATTTTTCTGATATTTTCTATATGCATGTCTGTGTTTTCCATTATTAGGGTTTCATTCTACAGTTTTATATTATGATTTTTCCACTTTTATTTGTTTGTGGAGAAGGTATTAAATACTTGTGGAACACAGGCACTGGGCTAGTTGTTTGAAGTTCAGCTGTCAAACAGATAGGCATTGTCTCTGTACGATTTCTCATTATGGAATTTACACTTAGGCCTTATTGTGAACATTAGAGAATGGTTTGAAAATGACTTGAGTGGACACCATTCTAATAGGCTGAGGGGGACCCTCAGACTGCTTTTTTGCTGGAGAGTAGAATGGCCCGATTCGCCCTGAGAACCAGGGGAGGATGGATTGCATGTGGGTAGACCTGGACACAGCAGCATGGTAATTACTGCATTCTTATGGGAAAATGACAGGCCTTTGAATTAAGCAAATGGCTTTAGGGATTGAAAGGAAAACGTGATGTGAGAATTTCACTGAAGTGGAAACACCGGCAGGATTAAGCAACTGCTTGGGTCAGGAGATGATGCAGAGGGATAAGCAGGCTGTGCTGGCACTTTCTGGCCCGGTCGGAATTATTTCTGTTTCTACCATTTCATGGGGAGTCTTGGTCCCTACCTTCTCTCCGGGCTGTCGCTAAGAGGGCCTTGTGTTTAGAAATTACTTCTCAGTGCCTTGTCTTCCTTCTTGGTGTCTCAGTGAAATTTCCCCCTTTATTTTCCCTTACTTTCCCGTTAAAGTTCCTTGTCCTTCTGTTTCTTAGGGTGCATCCTTTTATTTAAGACACAGTAGCTATCATTTTCTACTTCCTAATGTCACTAAACCTTTTTGGGGTTTTGTTTAGAGAATTTATTGTTGTAAAGACAGAGCAAAACTCACAGATGTGACTAAGTTACAGAAATTTAAGAAATGATGCATTTTTTATAGTCTTGATTCTTGAATGTTAGTCTGGCTTTTAAAACAATTCCCGTCTCTTAGCCCCGCCCTCCACAGCACCTGCCTGTTCCTTTGTTTCAATAGAGTCCCTTTTCAGCCCAGAAGTGGATTTTGGAGAACTCTTTTTCTCAACTGGTTACTTTATATTGGAGGGGGAAACCAGGTTGAATGAATGACTTACATTTATATGCAGAGGGGACTCTTCTATCATTTATTCATTCAACAAATATTATTGCACAAGTGTTTCATAGCAGGTACTAAGAATAGAGATATTTACACAACACAGAACCCTGATTTCATGTATGATCATAACAACAACACAACATAAGTAAAAACACAGGGTATTGGATAGTGAATCAGTGCTAGCAAGAAAAATAGAAGAAAGAGGGAGAAGTCTATGAATTTGTGGGGCGAGCTGAAATTGCTTGTGGGACCAAGGCCTTTCTGGACATCTCTCTGCCCACTCTGGCATTCCTGCTCAGCCACTGCCTAGCTGAACTCTGCCTAGGGGCATGAAGTTCATTAACTTAAGGCCCCGCTGACCTTATAGTCTGGATTTATATAATCCTCTAAATCCCTGCACATGTAAACTTTGATGAGAAACTTTTGACAGAGAGAGATGGAGGGGATTTCACAAGCCTGAAGTGCACTCAATATAACCAAGAGGGTACAAAGCCTCGTTGTTAAAGGTAGTGCCTGCATTCAGCATTTCTCCTTCTTCCAAACATGCTGCCACTGAAATTGCCCTTTTGCATATCTCGCTAGTGAAAAGGGCTTCCTGGTGCCAGGTTAGTATTCAAAGTCAACACCTAGAAGCTCAGAAATAATACTGCAGCATTGACATGCTGGAGCGTCACACTGTTCAAAAGGTCTTTTTGTAAAGTATCAGATGAAGCTCTGTTTACTTTCTGAGGATAATGTTACTGCATTCACAAAATAAAGGCCCAGATCAAACTGTCAGCCTGGAGCTAAGATGGCAGCCTTTGGAGACAGCTGCCGATTCCTTCTTTGATTACATTTGGGATCAGGAAGATTTCCCATAGAGATCATTCTCTTAGAAAGTGAATCTACTAACAATTAGAGTCCTCTTGAGTGACGTCATAGTCAGTCTGGTGATACACATCTGATTTCCTTCGTTCTGTCTGAGAAATTTCTAATGCACCCAAGGCAGAAGTCCTGTGGGTCTTACCATCAGCTTTGCCATCTTTGGAGCTGGAGCCTGCAGGGTGATAGAGGAGTTTGTCACTGAAACCAGCCTCCATCCTGCCGCTCACCCCACCACCCAGAGTCATTGACCCTCTTGCTCTTCAATCTCCTGGAGTAGCTTCATAGAGTTTTCATGCCTTGTGCTATTGTTGCTGGAATAATCATGGGTAGCTTCTGGCAGTGAATTAAGAGAGAAAAATATGAAAATTAAATATGTGCTAGCATCTCTCGATTTTTACATTAAATATTTTCAAATATTAAAACCAAAGGAGCCCTGGCTGCTGTGGCTCAGCAGATTGAGTCCTGGCCTGTGAACCAAGGGTTGCTGGTTTGATTCCCAGTCAGGGCACATGCCTGGGTTGTGGGCCAGGTCCCCTGTAGGGGGTGTGCAAGAGGCAACTGCACATTGAACATTTCCCTCCCTCTCTTTCTCCTTTCCTTACCCTCTCTGAAAATAAATAAATAAAATATTTAAAAAAAATGAAAGACTAGAAGTATAGTCTCTCCTAAGGCAAATTTTCTTTGTTTTTCAACCACTGATGGGCATTCTTCCCATCAGTCGTGTTTACTTGAATTCAACCTGTGGATTCACTAGGGCTAGATAATGTGTACTTGGGGAGATCATATGTCCATTTTCCTGGAACATTCTTGGTTTATGCCTACTGTCCTAGCATAATTATTATTGAGATTCTCATTCCTGGTTTGTAATTAAAATGTATATGCTCAGTCTATCGATCAGAAGCTCCAATGCATCACACTGTCCACATCACATCTGAGCTGTACTAGTGGCTATTTTATGCATTCCTGTGCCCAAGCCCAGTCTTTACAAAATTTGTCCCTTTAGAATGAGGGCATTGCCCTGCCTTTGTGACCACACCCACAAAGCTGGGATTCCTGTCTTCTGGGCCCATGTCAGTGGCTGACGGGATTCTGCTAGCTGCTGACCCATTTACCTGGTCCATTCTTCTTCTTTTTTAAATTTTTATTTATTTAACTTTAGAAGGGAAGGGAAGGAAGGAAGGAAGGAGAGAGATATCAATGTATGGTTGCTTCTGGTGCATCCCCTGCTGGGAACTGGCCCCTGCTGGGAACTGGCCTGAAACCCAGGCATGTGCCCTGATGAGGAATCGAACCGTGATCTTTGGTTCGCAGGCCCGTGCTCAATCCACTGAGCTACACCAGCCAGGGCCTTCTTTTTTTTTTTTTTTTTAAGATTTTATTTATTTATCTTTAGATGGGAAGGGAAGGAGAGAGGGAGAGAATATCAATGTATGGTTGCCTCTTGTGTGTCCCCTGCTGGGAACTGGCCTGCAACCCAGGCATGTGCCCTGACTGGGAATCAAACTGCAGTTGTTTGGTTCACAGGCCTGAGCTCAATCCACTGAGCTGTACCATCCAGGGCTCCTGGTCCATTCTTGGTGCTCATTGCTAGCATCCTCATCAGTTGCTCCATTTATACTCACTCTATGATCATAGCCACCCACCTTTAAGAAGTGACATAATATATGTGAAGTCCCTGGATATGTTATGTCTGATTACACACTCACACGCACCCTCATCATCATTAACATCTGTACTATCGGTCCCCACAGTCCACCTGCTGGTCTGGGTGTCCCCATCTGTGCGTGGCCATCTGAGCAGTAGTTGGAGCAAGGATCTGTTTCTGTATCCCAGCTCTTTCCCAGGTGCTCCATCCTGCTCTTGCTGTATAGTTATTTGTCTGCGGCTGTGTTCAGAAACAGGACACCTGGAAAACACCAATGTCAACAGGAAATGACAGAGCAAGCGTTATCTGTCCACCCGTAGTGACCGGGACCAAACTCACAGAAAGAACTGCAGTATCCTTTCTCCTGGTCGCTCCACCCCGGCCCTCCTCCTGGCAGATTTCCATGGCTGTTTCCGCCCTACTTACAGTGACATTTTAGGCACACCCTCTTTTCAGAATGTTGTAAGATCAGTGGGTGTCCTAGGAATGACTTTCTTACATTAAACTCCACTCCATTTGC